AAAAGGAAAAAAAAAAGGATTTATAATATTTTTTTATATCTAAACATAAATGTTTTTGCTTGCATCTCTATTTTAAACTGAATGGGTATTTTTATAAATGTAACACCCTGCCTTAATACTGGTTGCAGGATGTTAAGTGAACACAAGATGGCAGTGTTCTGCAGTTCAGTTATGCAGACTGTATTGAAGAAAAGCCTTGCTGAACTTGTATGCTGTATGCTGGTAGACAAGGACTGAACAGACTATATTTCCCAGAAGAGCTGGCAAAGGGGCAGGAGTATATATATTAAGAAGCCTGGGAACTTTACAGTAAGGAAGTAAATGGTGAGAGGAGAAGGACGGGTGTATGTAGAAAGCCATGTGGGACTCTGGTGATCTAGGCTGGGTCTGTGGTCAGTGCCCCATCAAGCGCACAGAAGATTTTGCACCTTTATTTGAAGAGATACAAAAAGGGGGCATTGTTACTCGTAATCAAAGTATTCACCTTCAGAGTTAAACCCAGTTACCAGTAACCGAGAACCCAAAAGTGAGTTAGCCTGTCAGCTTGATAGTTCATTCCAGCTCACTTGAGGAGAGACATCTCAGAAGCTAGAATTGATGTTTAAATTCTGATTCTGCAGGACATTTGGGAGTTGCTTAAAGTAATACTGTGTTTTATTACTTTGTTGAACCTTTTAGAGTATTTATTTTATGGTTCAAAGCCAGGGGGTCTGCCTGGTCAAAGGTGTACAGTGGCGTCAGCAAGTGTTTTGCTTTCAGAGTAGGCTCAGGACAGACAGGGAACCCAAAAATAGTCAGCGGCCCTGGAGAGGGTAGCTCTACACAAAGTAAAGGTTCACATATACTTTCTCTCTCCACCCAAAAAGAGTTTTTCACACTGACGTTCAGATCACTTTTAACACTTCAATGTTTTATTTGTTTATCCTGTCTAAAAAAATAAAAAGAATAAATGTTAATGGCCCAGTTTTGTGAAAAATACAACCATGTGTCTTTAAAGCCAATTAAATGATGTCTTTTAAATCTCAGTATTAAATGATGTTCATTTTATGTCAGGCTTCTTGATTCATTTCTCTGTCATTTTATGTCAGGCTTCTTGCATTCATGCACATATATTTTAAATTGCACTTTTATAACAGCATTAAACCAAATATGTATTATATTTCTGCTTACCAAACATTAGATGTGGCTGCGTCAATTTCTTTTCTTTGGCTTTTTCCCTCTGTTTTCACCTGGTGACCTGCCCAGTAACACACCTTCTGTATTAGTGAGACACCACTCTGAAGGAATGAGTACAGAACACAGCAGACAGCAGCATTGTCGGTCTGGAGGGGATTGAATTGTTAAATGTATTAGCAGATTTGATTACAATAACAAATTGAAGCCAAACTCCAGCTAACACTTTATAGTCAATTACAGCAAACAGTTTTTCTTTTTGGGATAAAGGTTTCATGTCAATAAATAAAAGCTAAGCATTTTAATCATCCCTGCCAGTGTTAAATGGTTTCATCCATGTAAATTGATACATTCTGCTGGAGAGCTTGATCATCTTAAAAACAGCAGATTACCTGGCTGAATCACCAAATGAAAATAGAAAGCCTAAAAAAGAAAATGAATGCAGCAATTTCGTCTAAGAATTGGTAAACTGTTTGGTTTTGGGGTTTAATTCAAAGTATCATTTGTGGGGTATAATCTGAGCTGAATTTGTCATTATTTATTTGTAACAGAGGGCTCTTTTCAACTGTAATTACCCTCATCCCCTCTTCCCTCATTATGCCTTTCACTTCTGCATGTTCTATCTCTAATCCATAGTCATCACTGTTTTTCTGATTTTCTCTCTCCCCTTCAACCTACCTTAAACGTATAGTCATCTGTTCTAGAAAGTATTTCCCCAGCATGCTGAGTTCAGGTGCAAGCCATCTTTAACATATAGGATTTACCAAAATGCAAAAACATCCCTGTGTTCCAGAAATCTCATACAGATTACAGCCATTAGTGATTTCTTTCCATTGCCATACCTTCACAAAGTGATTTTCACAGTGATTTACACAGTTTCCAGCATTTATATAGTTAAACAATTTAAGAAGTCGGGCTTTGATGGATATTTATAGAGTATGTCTTTCATTGCTTAAGAACTAAATGCTGCACTCAAATTCTTGGAACTCGAAAGATTGATTTTGTTTGCCTTTTGATTAAGAGAACAGGATTTGGACATGAAAATCCAATTAGATGATTGTAGAGGAAGAGGCCGATGCCTGCAGCAGCATACAGATCTCTTCCAAGAGCCAGGCTCACAAATCTGAGCCACGTATCCACCTCTTTATATTCTTCTGTGTTTTACTGATCTGCTCTAAGAAGAACATGAGTCTTGGTTTTAGGGTTATTCAGATGTTACCTAGGGATGTTTTAACGCACAGTAAGTATGTGATATGCAATTATTGGAATCCTAGAAGTTAACTGAAAGTTTTATATCTTATATAAAATAACTACACTGGTAAAATAGTTGATATGTTAATATAATTGGTTGCATTATTCTAACAGTTTGAATTTTTCTCCCTATAACCAATCAGATTCCAACTGTAATTATAGAAATGAGCCAGCGGAATTTTAGAGAGTCTCCACCCTTGATGTGACTCGCACTGGTCTTGCACTTTAATGCTCCTTTGAGGATTTTGCACGCTTGTTTTACTGCTTCGTTTGTGAGTATATATCTCATTTTAATAAAATCAAGTTTTGTATCGAGGTAATGCGCAAGGTTGGTGCGCTTTCTTTTTGTTTCACTTTGCCAACTGTAATTATTCCAGATGCAAGTCTACAAAAAAAAATGTGATTGAAAAGTGATTGACTTAGCTCAATTTACTAAGTGAATGTGAATGATAGCTAATGTTCATAAATAAGACTCAACTGTTCAGGTACATGATTGAATGATTGGAGTGAACACGGCTTCCCCTCATTTACTTTGTTAAGTGAACAGTCTTTACTCCTTTTGGTAAATTAACCCCATTGCAAAAGGTAAAATATACAGTTTCAGCTTATTCATGATTGATATTACATATACAGTAGTCATAGCAACTCTTAAGGCCATATATTCTTGGCACTGCATGACCCTGGTATAAGCACATGAAAGTGTTGCTGAGAGGATTCTGGCATTGAAGATGAATATACACAGATGAGGGTTCATTTCCTGCACATTTGAATTCCCAGCAAACAGCTAAATACATATCTGTGAAGGATCTCACTTATCCAGGTCATGGTATAGCTAGTAGTGGTCACATTAAAATGGAATTGTTTGGTAACATTGAAGATGTTCCATAACGTCACCAAACTTCTACCAAGCCATTTCTTCAATTATGATAAGTGTCAGGAAGATATTCTGGCATTTATGTCAACACGGGTAGAACAGACACTGAACTGTGGAAGTGGTTTGGAAAAGCTATAAAACATCTTTAACATTACCAAACAAGTTCAGTTTAACGTAAGTACTACCAGCTATACCATGACCTGGAAAACTGAGAGCCTTCACAGATATATAAATGACTCCATGGTGCCCAACCTGCGGCCTGAGGGCTGCATGTGGCCCTTTGGTATATGATGTGTGGCCCTCGGATCTCAGAAATTTATAGTGGGAGCATTGATTAGGATAATAGCATCGATCTCAACTAGCCTCATGTAACATGTTCCCAGTTTCATATTGTCTTCTGCAGCATATCCCCAGCCAAATATGTAATATGTGTAGCACCCTCTAGTGTGCTGCTAGAATAATGTAGGCAAATCTAGAGTGTATGACTCATGGTAACCATGTGAGTCTGTGATTAAGGTTGGGTTACTGCCGGTCAAGCTGGATGGCTTAACAGGTTGGGACTCTATCACCTCCACCCTGGAGGTCATGGGGAGGATCAGGTGGAAGAAGACCTAATCTTTGATGGGAGACTTGGAAGACTTGGTAGAGTGGTGGACCAGCCCATAAATATGGCATAAGTCGGCTGGGGAGTCGGGTGGAAGATGGAGTGCTGAGTAGACTGTTGGTGGGCTGGGAGAGGTACCCTAGGTCTAGGGGGGGGGGGCTAGCCTCCAGGCTGGGCTCAGACTGGCTCAGGAGGATCCATTCAGCAGTATGGCATAAACAGGATCAAGGCCTGGGAGCAATGGGAGCAAGGAGGACAGACTGAATACATCAGCACACCCAGGGATTTACAAGGGGAAAGTCTGTGAAATGTAGCAAGCTTTCAAAGGACAACTCTGTGATTAATCCTTTATCCTTGTCCTAGGAGATCTGCAGAGCAACATGGAGGGCTGGTAGTGTCTGCAGGCTGCGGAGCTGGGAGCAGTTCGACAGGGGAGGGGAGACATCTCTGCATGTAGTTTACAAGCCAAGGTGATTTTCAGAGGGGGGTTGTGAGTCCCTTGGTCCCGCAAGTGGCTGTTGCTACTAATCCACAGAGACTGATGACTTTAAAAAAAAAGAACAGTCCAGGATCTGCTTCTGTAAATAGGAAGGAAGTTGTCCCTGTGCATTGATTCAGTCAAGCTAGGCATCCTATAATCCCTATTACTTTACCCAAGTTATATTCCCCTAATAAAATAACAAAAACCAGACTCATGGACTGTTCACTGAAAGTGTGAAAAATGCGTGTTGCCTGGCTGCGCAGAGGGGTACCTAGAAACACTGCAACCCTCATGAGGGTAGCGCTACACATGTCCACACTCTCTGACCTCATTTCTTTTATTAGGTCTGCAGTTTATTCCTTTAACCACAAGCCTACAGGGCACTTATACCCCCTTCCTGCCCAGGCCAATTTCCAGCTTTCAGCGCTGTCATGCTTTGAATGACAATTGCGCGGTCATGAAAACTGTACCCATATGAACTTTTTATAATTTTTTTGTGACAGATAGAGCTTTATTTTGGTGGTATTTATTCAACTCTGGTTTTTTTTTATTTTTTCTTAAACAAACCAAAAACCACTGAAAATTAAAAAAAAAAAAAAATTTTTTCTTAGTTTTTGTTATAAAATTTTGTAAATAAGTGTTTTTACTCCTTCACTGATGTGCGCTAATGAGGCTGCACTGATGGACACTGATAGGTGGCATTGATGGGCACTGATGAGGAGGCACCGGTAGGAGGCACTGATGGGCACTGAAAGACAGCACTGATATATGGCACTGATAGGCAGCACTGACTGGCACTGATAGGCGGCACTGACTGGCACTGTTAGGTGGCACTGACTGGCACTGTTAGGCGGCACTGACTGGCACTGTTAGGCAGCACTGACGGGCACTGATAGGTGGCACTGATGCACACTGATAGGCGGCACTGACGGGCACTGATATGCGGCACTGACTGGCACTGATAGGTGGCACTGATTGGCAGCACTGATAGGTGGCACTGATTGGCATTGATAGGCGGCACTGACTGGCACTGATGGGTGACACTGAAAGGCAGCTCAGATGGGCACTGATATGTGGCATTGATGTGCACTGGTAGGCACTGATATGTGGCATTGATGTGGCACTGGTGGGCACTGGCACATGGCACTGCTTAGCACTGACAGCTGGCACTGATGGACACTGTCAGGTGGCACTGCTGGGGCTAAACTGATCATCAGGGCACACTGATCATCAGTGCTTTCATGATCTGTGTAGATGTCCCCTCCGGGGAATGCCGATTACCGGGCTCTCCTCTTCTCTTGAGCTGTCAGCGTGACAGCTCGAGAGGAGAGAAATGCTGATAACCGACATTTCCCTGTTTACAAGTGATCAGCTGTGATTGGACACAGCTGATCACATGACCGAGCCAGCATCTTTGGCTCTTTCCATGGATCGGTGATCCGCTGTGTCCGAGGGACACAGCGCACCGGCGATCGCCGCGCTGCACGCTCCGGGAGCCGCGCATACGCGGTTAGAATGGGAGGACGTCATATGACGTCCTCCCAGAACGAGAGGACCACCTTGCTTCCGTCATATTACTATATGGAGGGTGGGAGGTGGTTAAAGCATTACATATAAGCATTACAAATATTAAACATTATATGTGGCCAGTTGGTGCTGTTCAGGGGCTGCATTTGAGGCCCCCTCTAGCTCCTAAGTTGACAACCACTGATTTAGCTGTAGTTCAGCTTTAACAGTTTGCATACACCTCTTCTAGGTCAGCACCAAAATCATGTGCCTATACCAGTATCATGCAATTATCCAATTATATTTAAATAAAATCTGTTTCTCCAATATAGTTATTTTGTATAAGAAATAAAACTTTAATCCAATTTCCATGGAATGTGTAGAGGCTAATAGTCCAGGAACAGAATGGGAGTTGTGAAGACTGTGGAACCACTGTTTTCTAGTTACATACTCCCATCCTTGGTGTCAGGATGTCTGCATAGGTGTTAATTCCTTTATTTGCATGGCTAAGGCTAGGCTCACACTGGTGATTGCCACTGCAGGACTGCACATGTTCCCATAGCTGCAATCACTTTCACAGAAAAATGCACTGCAGTGCAGTAGATGCTTGGAGGTGCCATTAATCCTAACGCACTGGAAATTGCAATGCACTTGAGGTTTCCGTGTGGGCTGCATTTTCAATAAAGGTGCAGGGGCCTTTTTCCTCCATTTTCAGAAGGCAGAGCAGCCCATTCAAATAAATGGACTGCTGTGCCCGTGCAAAACGTGGCTCACAGAGTCGCACAACTGTGAACCTAGCCTAAGCCACATACAGTCAGGTCCATAAATATTGGGACATTGACACAATTCTAACATGTTTGGCTCTCTACACCATAACAATGGATTTGAAATGAAATGAACAAGATGTGCTTTAACTGCAGAATGTCAGCTTTAATTTGAGGGTATTTACATCCAAATCAGGTGAACGGTGTAGGAATTACAACAGTTTGCATATGTGCCTCCCGCTTGTTAAGCTACCAAAAGTAATGGGACAATTGGCTTCTCAGCTGTTCCATGGCCAGGTGTGTGTTATTCCCTCATTATCCCATTCATTTCAAATCCATTGTGGTGGTGTATAGAGCCAAAAATGTTAGAATTGAGTCGATGTCCCAATATTTATGGACCTGACTGTATATGCAGATTGGATGTGGTTTGAACCGAAATTGTGTTTGTGCTTATACCACTTGGGAGCTCAGATATAAATTGACAATAAATATCCTTAGTCTCCAAAAACAATCTATACACATTCACTACTTAAAATGCTAATAAACCCACATCAGCAAATGCAGTCTGTATATGCAGTAAAGCATGCTTTTTATACTCACTGTGGAACCTAAGGGGTTAATCCTCCGCATTGTGTAAAAAGACAGTTAGACCCTGTCTTCTTTGATCCTCACCTTCTTCTACTGTCCCCAATCCATCTGCTGATAAAGCAGAGCCTTGGGGGCAAGCTACACATGCCCAGTTTGGTGTGTATTGCTAGAGAGTTTTTTTTTCTTGGAGAGTGCATGTGATCAGTACAGTCCTTCATAATATATGTTTTTTTTTAAAGTCCGCCCCAGTAATATAGTCATGGATGTGCTTTCTATATATCTTATTTCTTTCTAAATCCCTAAGAGTATTCCAAGCAGGGCTTTTATTCAGCGGGAACATGGGGGACGTTCCAGCACCTACAGCACTGAATGGGGTGCTTGGGCTTGCTGGAGAGTCTATTGATGCTGATTTTTGGGGGATCACTGGGGTGGATCCTTTGTTGCTTGGAGGTCTATTTTTGCTGGTGGTGGATCTATTGTCCCTGGAGGATCCTTTGTTGCTGTGGAAGTCTATTGTTGCTGGTGGGGGATCTATTTTTGCTGGAGGGAACTTATGTTGCTAGGGGCCAATTGTTGTTGTGAGGGATCTACTGTTGAGGTAGGGGTCTATTGTTGTTGGCTGCTGGAGGGTCTATTGATGAAGACTGCTGACCTACTGCATTGTTACATTTGGGGTCTAATTTTGCTGGAGTAGATATATTGTTCTTGGGGGGAGAAGGGTATTTTGATGCTGGTGGTCCATTGTTGCTGAGGGGCATCTAGAATTGCTGGAGGGGGCCTTTTGTTCCTGGCTGAAGAGGATGTGCTTGAAGGTGGGCAGGGGGTCAGAGACAAGGCGTGACTCAGAAGCGGAGAGTATCTACACCTATTCTTTGAGAAAAAAAGCCCTGAATCCAAGTGTATAAAAGCACTTTTCCTAAAAAGTGTATGTATAGTCAAATATTGTTTTCATTTAGTTATGTTAAAGTAGAAAAAAATTAAAAACCATTTCAGTTGTTTAGTTATTGACATATTTATTTAATTTTGTATGTGCTATGGTAGGTTACATTTACCTTCACTTCCTATCCCGAAGACACAATAAGAATTGAGAAAAAAAAAATCCCCCCATTCGAAGAATTCCCCTCTGTTCATGTTCCAAAATTTTGGATTCCGGTTCACTTTGTGACAATGATCACCAGGAAAAATACTTTAGGATGACTTTCCCAATGGGGACAAAGACAGTTATAAAACCCCAAACACAACCATCCCACAGTCTTATCAAAAATTGGGTATAACGTACATACACTTTAAATTACAAAATGACTATGTTGTGTGGCTGGACTCCATACAGATATTGTTGGAGTTATAATTCTTTTTATTTTTCGATTCAGTTAATTATATTTTTCTTATTTGATAACATTATAATATCGCAATAGCCTGGTGCCCATGAAATATACAGTTTACACAATTAGTGCATGCTGTTTGCTTATGTTTTGGCACAAAATATAAGTACATGAAACATGTTTTACATCAATCACTCATTCCAGGGGAGAGAATATAAAGCTAAAGAATAATTAGCTGTACCAATAAGAGGAAAATCTTAATAAGGAAAACTGGAATCAATTAAGGAGCAGATGGAAATGCAATTCTAATGTATACTGCAATACAAATCCAATAAAAAAGGTTACAATATACTGTATATGCAGTATATACTGTATAATAGTGCCACAGAACAGCTACTCACTTTCCAGCTTCCACCCACCACCCGTCAGTGAATCCTCCAGACCATAACTTTAGGTGAGACTGCTTAGTCAGCTCCAAAGATAATTTGAAATAGGCCCCTAGTCATACCACAGCTGGAACCTTGATGAACATCTGTTAGAAATTCTGTATATAGCCCTACAGAACAGACAGTGCACAGTCCACATGTATTTATCTCTGAAAACAGGAACTTTATTATAGAGAAAAGACATAGAGTATAACCATAGATGCAGCTACAAACCTATAAACACTGCCATCTACTGGATCAAATATATATGTTTAGTGAATAGGTTGTTGTTGCACAAAATTCATGAACAATGTATGCCATCACCCCCACTCAACAACAACACTACCTTCTTTTCTTAGTCCCATTTTGGATCAAGCACAAACAAAAGTTTTTAGATGGTTCAAATTCTGGGCTTTTCCATTTCACAGTTCATATGGAATTTTCTCAGTTGATTTTCCTGGTAGTCGATTTTGGAGATAGCATGCTGTCATAATTGTATGTGGTCGACATACTTGCATCAAACAACATGGTTTTCCCATTCACAAATAGATTGAGGGTTCATTCTTTGTGAAACCCCATTTTGTTCTTGATTGTATGATACAGTAATTTGAAATATTGTGCCATGCTTTCTGGGAATTGCCTGAGTGTTATCACCTGTGTATTCAGTTCTATTGTCTGTGCACAATACACTCAGCATTTTGCCAGATTTGTTGCTTACTTGAGCCAAATAATGTTCAAGTTTCTCTGGTACTTCACTTTTGTTGTGTAGGGGTTGATTTACTAAAAGTAAACAGGCTGTGCACTGCAAGTGCACTCCAAGTGCACTCCAAGTGCAGTTGCTCTAGATCTGAGGGGAACATGCAGGAAAAATAAAAAAAAACAAAATTTTTGCTTGCATATGATTGTTTTGGAACCCCTGATGAAGTCATGTGACAGTGACGCAACGAGTCAGAATTTAAGCAGAGGCAGATGTAACAGGAAGTGACACAACACGGAAGTACATGCCGCGAACCACTGATTCTAAAAGTGATCTTTTATTATCTAAATGTGACAACAATCATCTGAGACTGTGGAAGTCTTAAAGATATCACATATCTGATCACTGACCAAAGGAAAGGAGGAGTGGAGAGTCCCTAGTCATTGGAGGACATAGAGACCAAAAGTGGAGATATTATATTTACATGAAGAATAATAGAAAACTGGAGGTGAGAGTTCTGAGAGCACTAAGGTGACACTATAGCGTGCGAAGCAAACATGAAGCATGGATATATGGTATATGGTGTTGGTTCATACACTTTCGTGAATCGAATGATCTTTCTGAATTTATTTTTTATATTATATTACTGTTTAGAACGCACTTATATGAGTTTTATTCACCAT